ACACCACTGTGTGATTGTGTCTGCCAATGCCAGGTGGTACACCACTGTATGATTGTGTCTGCTAATGCCAGATGCTACACCACTGTGTGATTGTGTCTGCCAATGCCAGATGGTACACCCACCAAGTCTCACCAACACGACTGCCCCAATGCGAGTGGAACAAGGAACACACATAGACCTGTCAAAGTGGACAGGGATAAGCCCAGGAGATCTCAGCCCTACACAAAGAACTACAGACAACTGCAGAATTCTAGGTTGACTCAAACTGGACAGTGTCTTTTTCTTGGCCTTCTGAGGACTGGCTGAGCTTATAGGCAAGTGTAACCGTACTCAACTTCCACCATAAATTGACCGAGGGCGGGAGGGTGGTGGCACACACCTTTAACCCCAGAACTCGGGTGTTTGCTCAAGAGTGGGACTCCTGCACACCATAGCTGGAGTGTGTCGGTCAGAGAACAGTATGCAAGAGTTGGTCTCTCTCTCTCTCTCTCTCTCTCTCTCTCTCTCTCTCTCTCTAAACAACTCAAAAAAGAGATAGAGATGCTGTGAGCTGGAGAGATGTCTCAGCGGTTGAGAGCACTGGCTGCTCTTCCAGAGATCCCGAGTTCAATTCCTAGATACCACATGGTGGCTCACAACCATCCATAACGAGATCTGGTGTCCTCTTCTGGCCAACATAATAAATAAATACACCTTAAGTAAATAAAAATAAAGACAAACAAGATATCCAGTGTATAAAGGCACTTCCTGAACAGCCCTAGTTCCCCAAGTTTGATTCTCAGAACCCATAAAGGTGGCTGGAGAGTTCTGACTCCATGGTATTGCCCGAGGGCCTTCATACATGAACACACACTCACACCATTCACACACGCATACAATAGCAAGAAATACAAATAATAAAATAGAGTTGCTCTCTCATTCCACAGGTGGGAGTAAGGGATCAAACCCCGGATGCCCAGCTTGGCAGCAGGCACCTTTAACCAACTTTAGTTTTTGACACTGGTCTAATGTAGCTACTACAGAACTATAGTGACGAAAACAGGGTGGTATTGGCATAAAAAGAGTCAAAGACCCTGATGTAAATGCACACACCTATGAATACCTGCATTCTGACAAAGAAGCCAAAATTATACAATAGAAAAAAAAGAAAGCATCTTCAACAAATGTTGGTGGCATAACTGGATGCTGGCGTGTAGTAGAATGGAGTTAGATCTCTATCCGTCCCCATTCACAAAGCTCCAGTCTCAGTGGATCAGAGACCTCAACATAAATCTAACCACACTAAACCTCATAAACGGGAAAGTGGGAAGTAGCCTTGACTGCATTGGCACAGGAGACTACTTCCTGAATTTAACACCAGTAGCACAGACACCGAGATCTGCAATTAATAAATGGGACCTCCTGAAGCTAAGAAGCTTCTGGAAGGCCAAGGACACAGTCAACAAGACAAAAGGGCAGCCCACAGAATGGGGAAAAGATATTAACCAGCCCCACATCTGAAAGAGGGCTGATTGCTAAAATACATAACTTAAGACACCAGAGATCAAATACCAGATAATCCGGTTTAAAAATGGGGTACATGTCTAAACAGAATTCTCAAGAGGAGAACCTCAAATGGCCGAGATACACTTAAAGAATTGTTCAACATCCTTAGCCTTCAGGAAAATTCCAATCAAAATGACTTTGAGATACCCTCTTACACCTGCCAGAATGGCTAAGATCAAAGACCCTGATGACAACTCGTGTGGGAGAGGCTGTGGAGAAAGGGGAACACTCCCCCACTGATGGTGGGAGTGCAAACTTGTACAGCCACTTTGGAAATCAATATGATGGTTTCTCAGAACATTGGGAATCAACCTACCTCATGACCCAGCTATACCAATCCTGGGCACATACCCAAAGGATGCTCAATCACACCACAAGGACACTTGCTCAACTATGTTCCTAGCAGAATTATTCATAATAGCCAGAACCTGGAAACAACCTAGCTGCCCCTCAACCATTTGGGGGCATCTTTATCAGTGTGGTACATTTACACAATGGAGTATTACTCAGCTGTAAAAAATAACGACCTCATGAAATTTGCATCCAAGGGATGGAAACAGACAAACACTCTTCCTAGCGAGGTAACCCAGGCTTGGGAAGACAAACCTGGTATGCATTCACTCATAAGTGGATATTGGGTATAAAATAGAGGATAACCAGGCTCCAATCCACAGCTGCGTGGAGAGCAGCTAATAAGGCGCTCCCAAGAGAAACACCTAAGGGTTTACCTAAGAAGCGAAGATAGAAGGGTTCCTCTGGGTAAATGGGGGGAGGGTTGAGGAGAGATGAGGAGACGTGGTTGGGTAGGTTGAGGTGGTACTGAGGGGTGGGTAATAAAATAGAAGTCTTGGTGGGGGGAGAGGTGTCTTGCTGCTATGGAGAAAGCTGGTGCCGTGGAATTTCCCAGGAATCCACAAGGATGACCCCCAGCTTGACACCCAGTAATAGGAGAGAGGTTGAAAGATCTGGTCTTCTCCTCAAATTGGATTGGGGACTGCCCTAATTGTCATCAGAGCCTTTATCCAGTAACTGATGGAAGCAGATGCAGAGATCCACAGTCAATTACTGAACAGAGCTCCGGAGTCATATGCGGGGGTGGGGGGTGTGTCAGTGTCATGGGTGGAACCAACACAGACCCCTGACCTGAGCTCACTGAAGCTCACGGATACGG